TACCTTGCAGTTTTGCTAGCAGTTCCTTCTCTTTTCTCTTGCTGCCTGCTCCTACGCTACACACTGCATCGCTGTACCCAGTTTGCCCGATCCAATCCCTCTGCCTCCCTCCCCTGTATGGGCTCAAATCCGACTGAGCACACGCAAGGGAGGAGAACAGGAGAAGAGGTCACTCGGTACTCACTCCCACCTTCCTCACCTCTTCCCTTTCCATACTCGCCACTCCCCTCCCCATCTTGCCCCTTGCGCGCGCTCACTACAACTACCACACGAGAAACCCGTGCAATGGCTCGGAGTGTGGTGGTCCTCTTATATAGTGGAAAGTGTTATTATGACCAAAACAACTTTTCAATTCGTAACGGTAACATGGATTAGCCTGCGGTTTTCTTATCGGTTGTTCCCTCCTCCTTTGCTGCGCGTTTCTACTCAAGCGCGCGCTACGCACCCCTCCCTGCACCCCCTTCGGGGCCCCTCCCCTCTGCCTCCCTCCCATACACGTGCTCAGCTCCGGCTGAGCACGTGCAGGAGAGGGAGGCAGGGCGACCCGGTACCCCCACCCTGCCCCCGCACGAGCACACGTCCAGCTGCCACGCCAGCAGCTCGTGCAATGGCTCGGAGTGTACCGAATGGTTGTCTTATATAGCGGAGGCTGTTATCACAATCAAATCATTGGACTGCTACATCCTCCCAGTCGGTTACCGGTTTGCCTAGCGGTCGTTTTCGCCTCCAGCGAACTCGAACCCGTGAAGTATTTTGCGGACGGACAGACAAACATACATACACATACATACATACATACAACCTTGAATACCTTGATGTCCGCTCTTCAAGGTTGGTTGCGCCATCCTTGCAGGACACATCTATGCCATTCATCACGATTTCTTGCCATTTGTTGCCATCTCTGTCCATAGTTTCTTTAAAAGGATCACTCCACCTGGCTGGGGGTCTTCCCTGTGGCCTTTTTACACCACGAGGATACCAGTTGGTTACGCGATATGTCCATCGGTTATCGTCAAGACGAGCTACGTGTCCAGCCCATCTCTTTTTCGAGTCATAAATGGTTTCGATAACATCCTTTACGCCCGTCCGTCTTCGGATTTCGCGAGCAGGGATCTTGTGCATTAGTGTTACTCGACACATTGCTCGCTCCATTGCCCTTTCGTAGCAGCTAGTCTTCTCTCCTCATCTTTGATTGTGCTCCATGTCTCACTTCCATATACTGGAGAACATGGTGTTGAACACCTGAGATCTTATTTGAGTTTCAATCCGTCTATCGGTGAGAACATCTCGGTATTTGTTAAATGTGGCCCATCCCGCCTTTCGACGCCGGCTGATTTCTCCTGTAAGATCATTATCCATCGTTATTGCTTGGCCAAGATACGTGAACGATGAGACTTCCTCAATGACTGATCCTTTCATGCATAAACGATAGTCATTTGTATAGTTGTTTTTCATCCATTTGGTTTTTCCTGGATGTATTACAAGTCCAATGGATTGGGAGGCTTCGCTCAAAATATTCAGGGAGCTTTCGAGTGCACTCGGTTCGCTTCCAATCAAGACTATGTCGTCTGCAAACATCAAGTATTGAAGTCTTTCGCCATCTATCTCAATGCCACAAGGCAGCTCTATTTGCCGCATTACAAGTTCTAAAGCTGCAGAGAATAGTTTTGGAGAGATGACCTCGCCTTGCCGTACGCCACGTTGGATCTTTACACGAACTGGTTCTTTGAGCAATTTTATGTCAGTGTAGCAGCTCGTGTTACATTGTCGTATTATTTCAATATATCTTCTTGAAATTCCGAACGTGGCAAGTGCGTTTAGTACCGCTTGGTGTTCGACCGTATCAAATGCCTTTTTGAAGTCAACAAAAAGATAACATAGCGGGATTCGGTACTCTCGACATCTTTCCGCAAGTTGAGAAATGACATGTATCTGATCGATGGTTGAAAAGCCTTCACGAAATCCGGCTTGTTCTCTTCTCGTATTTATATTGAGTGTTCCACTTATGCGGTTGAGGATGATACGTGAGAAGATTTTGAGTATTGTGGACAGGAGCGCTATAGGACGATAGTTGGCCAGTATATCACCGTCCTTTTTTGTGATCAAAATGGTATTCGAACCCAGCCATTCCTTTGGTACAGTTCCCGACGCCAGCATTTCTGTGAAAATGTCTGCCAAAGGGCGGGCAATGAACTCCTTCAGACATTTCAGGTGTTCTGCCAGAATTCGATCTGGTCCAGGCGCTCTTCCTCCTTTCGTCTGTTGAATAGCCTCCAATACTTCCGTTTCAAGTACTTTCCACTCATCTCTTGCAAGTGTGTCATCATCATCCTCACAAAATATCATGTTAGGTTGCACCAGCACTTTTGTGGAGAAGAGGTCTTGGAAAAAGTTTCGAATTTCTCCTTCCATTCCTTTTTTATTCCTGACAACAGAGCCATCTTCTTTTGTGAGATATTCAGGGGTAATGGTTTTGAGTCGAGTGTTGATGAATGTTCTTTTGATGCTCGTGCATTTTTCAGCTGCTTCTCTTGCTTTACGTTGCGCATATTCACGATATTCTTTCTTCACTCTATAGCGTATAGCCTTGTTTAATATAGTTCTAGCCACAGGAGTCATAGTTTTTCCCAATTCCTTCCGAGTGGCCAACATTTGCAGCGTAGTAGCACTTAATCGTTCCCGAGGTCTGCTTCGAACGCGCTCTGAAGCATTTTTAACTACATCCCGAATAGTAGAAATCAACTTTTCGTATCTGCTGTGAACATTTCCCTGTTCTGAAGAAAAGTTTGTCGTGGAAGCGAGCGCTTTTAGTCGTTCTTCAGAGAGCACATATTGAGCACGTTGCGAATAGTATGCAGCTAATCGTCTCCTTTCTTCTCTGAGCTTTATTGCTACTGTGGCTCGAACTAAACGGTGGTCCGATCCAATATTAAAATGCGATTCTCCGATCACTGTAACATTGTGAAAGAGGCGCAAGCAGTTGGTTAAGAAGAAGTCGATTTCGTGGAACATCTGCCTGTTCGGGGTATGGTATGTCCAGCGACGTCCTACACGCTTTTGGAAATATGAGTTTGCCACTGATAATCGACTCCGTTCGGTGAATTGTGCTAAAGCCTCTCCTCTGCTGTTTCTTCCAGGTATTCCGTATGGCCCTATATAGGATTCATCAGGTTCTCCGCATCCTAAGTGGGCATTGAAGTCTCCAGCGCATATCACATATGCTCCTTTTGGAGTAGTGGCAATTGCATTTTCGAGCGCGTCGTAGAACTCTTCCACGGCTTCATCTTCGTATGCACCGGTGGGGGCATAGACCGACAGTATTTTCATCGTCTTCTTTTTGCCTAGTTCGAGCATTAGAATCGCAATTCTTTCAGACACTACATTCGCAATAGGCAATCCTTGCAGACGTGGCGATACAATGAATCCGACTCCTCCGACTTTTCCGTTGCGGCTTGAGCCAGCTCCTAAGATCACTTCATGTCCAGTGTGCCAACTCCATCTTCCTGCATTGCTTCTTAACGTTTCTTGGACACATGCTACGTCAATCGCACACCTGTCCATTTCAGATACTAGCTGATCGATCACATAGTCGTTAACGAGACCTCGAGCGTTTATTGTTCCAATGTTTAGGAAACTGTTTGGCAGATCGCTTCTCGTGAGATTTCTCCCCCTCTGCCTTTGCCCTCTCTGCCAGGAAGGGCGGTGGCCGCACGGGACTGAGGGTACTTCTTCTTGAACTTCACTCATAGATGTTGATGGCCTGGACTTACCCTCACCGCCTAGCCATAACTGGCGGTAGTACCACTGCCGGGTGTGGTACCTGTCCAAGAGGGGCCCGTTTTTAGCCTCACTCAACGCGTCGCTGTTCCGGCAACAACAACGGGAAGCAACGTTGAGTGAGTTTACACCATTCCACCATTTGAGGTAAAAGGTGATACATACATACATACATACATACATACATACAAACCTACATACAAACATACAAACCGACACACAAAGTTACTGGTTTATAGAATGAAAGGATATCTCTTTAACAGCCCATTTTGTCTTCGGTCAGTAGCGACGGAGCGAGCAGTGTTTAATAAAAGCGGTGTAATCATCTCCTAACAAATGTCTCCTATAGGAGAATCGGAGAGTACCAGACTGTATTCTGATTCTCCTATTCTCTCATACTCTCCAAAGCCTTAGCGTCAACGTTCTGGCATTCTCCTGTTCTCCTTTACTCTCTCAAGTACACTAGCGGCCGGAGTCGATCGACAACCGTCTGTGGGTTGCGTTCAGAGCCTTGCAACGGTAGCGCGACAACTCGCCAACTGATGCGCTAGCGCTATCGTTTTCTGTTAGACTAACAGGAAACGCCTCACTGCAATGTTCATGTCCCCCCCCCCCTTCGTGCTACGTGCACACATGGACACTCGAAGTGAAGGGTACGTGACAGGACTATCGTAGAATGCCGCACTGGGCGTGGCGAGCGACGCCGCGCAAGGGACCAGTGGTCCTGTCCGGTCGTTTAGATTTGAATGTTAAAAAGACGCGAAAGACTGCTACCACGCAGCAGGAGTCTTGCCTCTGCTTATACCCCCACGAACTTTGATGCTGCAGTCGACAAACGGATGCACACTGAGAGCTCTGCGCATTCGCCAGGATTTCCGGCGCGGTAAATTACGATTGTCTTTTTCCGTCATTGTCCGCCGACCTGACATTTTTACAAACAAACCTTCCCTGTTAGGGGAGGGGGAATGCGCCGGTTTCGTGAGGTCACCAGGCGACGAGTAAATTCTTCGCGAGAGTGTGTAGCGAGAGCGACCTCCACAACTCCTATCATAGATGGAGCTGTTCATATCCTTTTGTCTCTTTTATCCATGAATCCATGCATTCTTCCAGTTGCTCGTTTTGCAGGTCTTCTCCATATCCATATTAATCAGATTTACTTGGTGGCCCATCTTTGCTTCAATTGCTCTTTGATAGCTCTACATGGCCGTGTGAGACATAACCTTTTGTGTAGATCGAATGAAACTGTCAACGAGAATACGAAAATTGTGGGAAACAAGATTGTTCTCGTCCCGTATGAGAAGGAACACGTCCCAAACTATCACAAGTGGATGGAAGATGACGAGATACGGAGGTCGTTTTGCTTCGCTTTGATGCTTTTTTTCGAATTGGTAATCAACCAGTAGTTGGTTGATGGATTCCAATAGTTATGGCATTCCGTGGCACCTGGATAATCTATACTCTAGTTCGTACAGGATGAAGGGGCGTGTGAATGGTATGAGTGTGTCTAGGCGTCAAACCCGTTTTCTGCCACTTGTTGTTACTGGTATTGTAGAAAACGAGGGATACGAACGATACGATACACTCTTGTCACTTGCTGTCTTCAACAACTGGTGGAAACAGATTTTTGTCACGCGCCATAAATCCCATCCCTTTGACACGCCCCTTCGTCCGCAGCGAACTAGAATATGGTTTCCCCATATATTTCTAATTCTCGTTGCATTCAGGCTGACTGGTTCAGAGAGATTGTCACTTGATGAGGAATATGAAATGCAACGGAACTGGCGAGTTGACGACGATAAACTGACTTTCATCATCTTATCAAAGGCAAAAATGGACAGCGGCTGTACAGAGGTAGACTGGTACTAACAAATTATGCCTGCAGTGATTTATAGCAGTTCAGCGCTCAAGGATTCTCGGAAAAAAAACTCCGTTGAGAGGGAAGCTCCAGGAAGAGGAGACGAAGGTAGCACGGTTTCTGCTGATGCTGAGTCTCAAAAATGATAGAAGGGATTTGATGGAGACTTGAGATTTCCTTTAGTCTCCGAAATTAGGGAGAGGCGTGGGATAGGATCGGTTAAGAGATCCACCTTGCGACGTTGCGAAAAGTGGAATAACGTGCGCGACATTCGCATTTCGACATTTCGAACCTGGGTGTTCTGACTTAGAGGATTACAGTAGTAGCTAGTTCCTGTCAGTCACAGCAACGTGAACCTTCGAGCCGACACGTGGATGGGAGGAGGGAAGAGGAGGATTTTGGTCGGTCATTGCACTTCCATAAAAACTCTGTTCACCACCCCACCTTTGTCAAAAATTACCATCAGGGGCACGTCCCGAGGGATCCCCAGCGGGGCGGGTCGTATGAGGCCGCAGGGAACATTTGATAGTTTTTTTCCCGTTTCTGCTGTTCTATCGTTGGAAAACTTGGGAGAGGGGGGAATTATATTTGCTCGTTGCTGGGAGAGAGTGGATTCGTATTCGCTCCGAGAGAGTTTTGCACTTGCAAAAAATTTTTTTAGCACGTGGACCTTTCCGAACTTTCTCGTTTCACTGGGTGTTACGTCCCCTTCCCCCTTGAAAGGTGGAGGATGAGGAAGGGGGATAATCTTGGTTAAGAGGCTCTTTATAGCACTCCGACGACAATTAAGTAAGGTTCTGGTGTGAATGCTGCGCACGTGTATTAGGCTGTGTGTATACTTTACTGCAGCGTACGCTAACGCTTCCAGCGTTCGGCAGCGGCAGTGGCAAGGGAAGGATGGATCACCAGCGTGCGCTAGCGTTGCGAGGACAAGCAAAGCATAGGTATCGATTTAGAATTTCAGGTACATATGTATATGTATGTTATATGTAATATATAGGGTTTGGATGAACATAGGGTTGTTTTCCTTGAAGGGTTGGCGATTTAGGCTCCCCCCCCCTTGCGCACGCCTCTACGCTTTTTGCGGAATTTTGTTGTTGTTTTTTCAAAATTTTTGCAGTTTTTTGTGTGCTACGTGTAGCTCCGCCCACTGTTAGGGGCTCCGCCCACTTTGAAGAAGCCCTGCTCACTTTTGAAAATGGTGCAGTATAGTGTCTCGGCTGGCCATGCTAAGGGGGGGTGTGTGGCGATTCTATCGTCGATGATAAGTAGGTCGCCGCGCTGGTGGGCGCCGCGTACGAGTCCTGCTGCGTCGTGCTCGTTCAAATTGTTAAAATGATCATCAAGCCATATTGTTTATGTTAATCCTGTACTGCTTGTCCCATTTTCCTATGATGATCAATGAATGTTTTTTCCGCATTCAAGTAAAGGGTGTAAGACTGGGTCCCACGTTATTTGTTCAAAATTACTGATCCAATTTTGGGCTTTTCGGAACTTGTGAATACGCGGTCTTCGAGACTCATCATTTGTATTGTCGTCTACATTGCAAACTCCGGAATTGTCGCACCGCGCCGCCGCGCGAGACGCCGCGACGCGATGTGCGCGGCGTGACCTGACTTGCCGACGATGAGAATCGCCCGGCTCCCACTTAGAGTCTCGGCTGGCATGCTAGGGTATTGCTGATCATTCGGAACAAACTTTGCCTGATTTTCTTGTTCCGAGTGACGAACGAGACCCTAGCATGCAAGCCAAGTCTCTATACTGCCGATCTGCACCATTTTTGAAAAGTGGGCGGGGCTTATTCAAAGTGGGCGGAGCCTCTCACAGTGGGCGGGGCTTCACGGCACACCAAAAATGCAAAAATTTTGAAAAAATATCAAAATTCCGCAAAAAGCAAGTGGGCGTGGTCAAGGGGCGGAGCCTAGATCGCCAAACCCTTTAGAGAAAACCCAAACCCTATGTAAACCCAAACCCTATATATTACATATAACATACACATACATATATACCTGAAAACTCTAAATCGATACCTATGCTTTGCTTGCCCTCGCTACGCTAGCGTACGCTGGTGATCCATCCTTCCCTTGCCACTGCCGCTGCCGAACGCTGGAAACGCTAGCGTACGCTGTCGCAAAGTATAAACGCAGCCTTACGTACCCGCGCCCCAGCATAACTGGTAAAGATACCCGGTACCCGTTCACTTCTATCCCGATTAAGTGGTTTATACGGATGTTCCCTAGAACCGCTAGCTGTGGTGAGGTGGTATAGAAGCGACTGTTAGATTCATCCGTCTACAGAAATGGTCATGATGAACAGGTCTCGAGTTGGAACAATAGAATGATCAGCAAGGTGATAAGTCTATTTTCGAGAGGCGCTGCGTATTCGCTCTCCACACAGAGTAGTAGTGAGCCCTTAAAATATTTGGTCAAAATAATAGTTTGCGGAGGCCGGTCGTTGTAAGAGCCAGCCTCTTTTCCTCGTCAGGTGGTATCGGGATTATTTAACCGTATCCAAACGGATTGAAAGCTTGATTGGCCTGTACAGATTTCAAATTCTGAGTTGCGAGTGCCTATTCACGAGTGCGACACTGGCTCCACATTTAATTGTCCGAGCATCGCCTGTGGCCTTGGCTTCAGACAAAGGTCCTGAATGCTACTAGAAAGCTACTCTTCATTGTCTGGTCTCATACAAGCAAATTTTTTGCCCTTTCTGAAGTCAAAATGGACTTGCATTACGTGTTTCTAGCTCAGCTGCAACACTCTATCGAGTGTTAGATAAATGCACTGAAGGTCTTCTATCAAATCCTTTATTGGTGAGCTTTAGGCGATAACGCCGTCATCAGACCTTCAAAATACAATACTTTAGCGACCTACAGCTACAACAAATACATTAACATCAGCATCAATACCTACCACGGGCGGGGAAGGCGGTGAGCCTGC